TGGGGGGCTGGCCTTTCCCCCACAAGAGAGGGCCCAGTGGCCATGACGCTCCACTTCTCCTCCCTGAAGAGGACTAGACGGTGTGTGGAGGCAGACAATCAACAGTGTGAATCCCAGCGTGGGCACCGACGGGGTGCCCCTGGCTTTTCCCCTCTCGCTCCTGGCGTTCCGATCTGCAACATGGGAGTATGGGCAGCACCCACCTCGTAGTGCTGAAGTGCATGCTGGGTGAGCAGATGCACCCTGCAGGCTCACAGCCAAACGAAACTTGGTGCCATTGAGTCGATGCTGGCTCAGCGCTCCTACAGCCCAGGGTAGAACTGCCCCTGTGAGGTTCTGACACTGTCACCCTTTATAGGAATAGAAAGCTTTATCTTTCTCCTTGGAGCGGCTGGTGGTTTCAAACGGCTGACCTTGTAGTGAGCAGCCCAGCGTGTAGCCCACTGAGCTATCAGGGCTCCGTGTGCATGCTGGAGCAGGGGGGGATCAGTGTCCCTTAAATCAGGTGGCCCACCTTCCTGGTTTGCCCGGTGCTACAGAGCTTCCCAGGACAATTCCAGTCAAAGTGGATCATGGCTGATCCCCTGATGCTCAAATCGGAGAGCTGCCAAGTTTACAGGGCCTCGTCTGGCTCACCATCAGTGTGTAAATAAAGTGTTATTGAAACGCAGCCACGCCCACCTTAGCACTACAGGGCCATCGCTGAAAAATGTCTGCAGAGACCAGGTGGCCCATAAAACCCAAAGCCCAAACCCCCTTGCCGTCCAGACTCACGGCAACAGATTCTACAGGGCAGAATGGCTCCATCGTTCTCTCTGCAGCCGTCTGTACAGAAATGGATCACCCATCCTTTCCGTACCCTGAGGTTAACCGCGCTGTGCCAACGCCTTAAGCTATTTACTCCTTGGCCCTTTAAGGAAAAGTTTGCCAACCCCAAACGTTCCTTGACAGCCATTGGATGTCCTCAGTGGCTGCACGAAAGATCGGAGCTTTGAATCCCCCCAGAGACACCTCAAAAGACAGGTGTGGCGACCACCGGCAAAAATCAGCCACTGAGCAAAACAGGGAGGGTAAAGGGAGAATGTGTAGGAAGAGGGAACCGATTACATGGAACTGTGTGTGACCTCCTCCCTGGGGGACAGACAACCAAAAAGTGGATGAAGGGAGACGTCGGACAGGGCAAGATATGACAAAATACCCATTTATAAACTATCAAGGGCTCATGAGGGAGGGGGGAGCGGGGAGGGAGGGGAAAAATGAGGACCTAATGTCGGGGGTTTAAATGGAGAGAAAATGTTTTGAGAAACGATGTACAAATGCGCTTTACACAATTGATGTGTGTATGGATTGAGATAACAGTTGTATGAGCCCCTAATAAAATGTTAAAAAACAAAACAAAACAAAAAAATATTAAAACAAAAATAAATAAATAAATTTAAAAAAAAGAAGAAAAAAATCAGCCACTGAGAACTCCACGAAGCACAAGCCCACACCGACACGCAGGGGGTTGCCAGGAGTCTGGGTCGACTTGGGAAACCGCGTTGCTGTGAGCAGCTGCTACTGGGTGCTGGAACACAGCAGCCAGGGCGGGCTTCTGGGAAGGAGAGCCTTGGTGCCCAGGCTGGTGGTTTATTTGTCGGCCATTTCAGAGCAAATGGGGTCCCAGGAGCTGCCGAGGAAAGAAAGGGGCTGAGGAGACAAAAGAGAGCCCAAACCAGAGGCCATGTCAGAACTTCATATTTATTAAGTCTCAAACAGGACAAAGAGGAAGACCCGTCCTACAGATGTGGGAGACTGTTAGCACGAGCTCACGCGTGCCAACAGAGAAGGACAGCAATCCGGCCCTTACGTGGGACAGAGGAAACTGTCACAACAGCATGGGGATGGCAGACGGATACGTCGTGGCTGCAGGCGGGCTCCCGAAGCGGGAACCAGCCCAGGATGGGGACACAGACATTAGGTTGGACAGAAGAGCTTACAAGAACTTTCTTCGGGATTTTGTGGCCTGGTGACACAGGGGCCCCCAGGCTGCTCTGTGGCATCTGCACATCGCACGTGGCGTGTGGCATGCCGAAGGGCCCACCATCCTCGGCCTAGTCCGCACAGGCGCAGGAGCTCAAGAACGCTGGCGCGGTCCTTCTTGGTAGCAAAGGGGAAGGGGATCAGGCACCCCTCCCTGAGTTGCCCTTTCACTGCTCCTGCAGTGGCATCTCGGCTGGGGCCTCTCGGCTAGCCCCTAGAACCTTCCTCTTGCCTCGGGCGATGGGGGAAGTCTCTGGCTGCGGGGCGTGTGGAGGGACCCGGGCCCTCTATTAGAGTATAGCCTGAACACAGAGTTTGTAGAGGCATCTGTGAGTCTCCACACGGGTTCTAGTCCACACGGGGCCCTCAGAGGCCAAGAACTCACCCTAGGCTCCCTGGAGAAGCACCCAAGAAAACCCAACCTGGAGCCTGTCACTCCTGAGCCCCGCCCCCAACCCCGTGTGTCTGCCCTTGGCAATTGGGTTAGGGGAACTTTGTGCCTGGGGGGGCGGGGGAGGAGCAATGAAGGGTAGGTGAGGGTCCCCGACAGTGGGGGTAAGTAGGCGGAGGGAATCTTAGGGAAGCGACAGAGGGGGGGTTAGCGTCTACGTTTAGCTCCACTGGCCACAGGGTGCTGGCTGCTCCTGGTCCCCTTGAGGGACTGCCAGTGCCCCTCCCCAGAAGATCCCTAGCCCTGCAGAAAAGTCTGGGGTCTGGGTGGCTCCCGGTGACGCGCTGCCTGCGAGGGATACGGCAGGTGTGCCGTGGGACTAAGGCAGGAAGCTGTGCAGGGTGAGGTCGTCCCCGTCGCGATCCTCTGGCTTCTGGCCCTGACTCTTGGCGGTGGGGGGACCCCCGTTGGCCATGGGGGTGGTGTTGGATGCCTCCCCCCCATCGGGCAGCAGGGCGGAGATGCAGACCATCTCGGTGGGAGAGTAGCTGCGCACCGGGTACCTGTGGTTCTTGCGCGACAGGCGGACGGCCAGCACCACGGTGCACACAAGGAAGATCGTGGCCACCAGAGCCAGCACCAGGATGGCCAGCAGGCACTGCCTCACGGGGATGCTGTTGGGGCCTCCTGGGGGGGTCGGGGACGCTGAGCTCCTGGGGATCAGAGCCTGCTGGTCCTCCCACTGTTTGATGCTGCCTCCGTGCCGTTTGTTGGTCGCCGTCGTGATGTCCCCTGGGCCACCGGGGACCACTGGAGGGTTCACTGTTGGACCTGTTGTCGTAGCAGATTTTGTGGACCGGGCCTCCGTGGTTGCCCGTTCTGTGGACACGACACTGGGCTTCAGGGAGGACTTTTCTGGGACTATGGGCAGCACAGGCAGGCCCCCAGTGGTGGCTGGTTCCGTGGACAGGGGTTCCATGGACAGGGCCTCTGTGGTGCCCGTCTCGGTGGACAGGGCCTCTGTGGTGATGGATTCCATGGGAAGGGCCTCTGTGGTACCCGCCTCTGTGGACCGGGCCTCTGTGGTGGTTGGTTCTGTGGACAGGGCCCTGGTAGTGGCTGGCTCTGTGGGCAAAGCCTCTGTGGTTGGGGGGCCCGTGGGCAAAGCCTCTGTGGTTGGGGGCTCTGTGGGCAACGTGGTCAGGGCCTCTGTGGCTGTGGACCTTGTGACTGTCACTGTGGACTGGGCCTCCATGACGGGAAGGGCTATAGTGGTCAGTTCTGTGCTCCCACGGTCCTGTGCCCCAGCACCCCCCGGGGAGATCAATTCTGTGCTCGGGCCCCCTGTGGCTGCCCCTCCTGCACCCAGACTAGCAGAATCTCTTGTGATTGACTCCTCAGTGGTTGGCTCGGGAGTTCCAGGCCCTGGGGGTCCTCTCTGCTCCAAGGTCCTCATGGTGGTCAGAGGCTTGGGGCCCAGGGTCACAGCCTGGGTGTGGTTTTCAAGCATTTCTGGAGGGTCCGTATTGCCATCAATGTCATAGTCCTCATCGTCGAAGTCTGGGTCCTCGGCCACCGGCCCTTGTCTCCGCGCCCGGGCCAGCAGCGGCCCTGAGGCTCCCTGGAAGCTGCAGCCAGGGCCCAGCAGGGTCAGCAGCAGCAGGAGTTTCAGAGACATGGCACCTGGGGGGACAGGGACAAAGCATGTCAAGCCCCTGAGGACGACGGGGTGTGCATCTGTGGCCGGCCCCTGGCGTCTGCACCCTCACCACGGAAGCACCCAGCATCCGCAGGTGCCTTCCAGCCAACCACAGCGGTTGTTAATCCTGTTTCGACATCAGTTAAAAACATCTATGGCTGGGTTTGGGGGGCCAAATCGGAATGAGAAGGGTCATGAAAGCCACGCCCCTCAGAGGTCGGCTCTACGCCAGTGTCTGCCAGGCACCAGGTAGGGAGGGCATAGGGTGGAGGACCCAGGAGCCAGGTCGCTGCACCAGCTCTGTCTTTTACACTGACTTCCAGCTGGGCGCGGGCCCCTCCGGACCTCAGTTTTCTCAGCTATAAGTTAGGGAGAGCAAAGAATGCTAGAGTGGAGGGCCAGTGAAAATGAGGGACACCCCATCCCCCTGAAATAAGATCGATCGACACGGCTGACCCAGCGAGAGACGCAAATAGACCCACCGCCAGGAAGATGGCTGAGGAGCCCCGGTGATGTGGTGGCCTGTTAGCCGCACTAAGGGGAGCAGCTGAGCCCACCAGCCACCACGTAGGAGAAACAGGAGGCTGCCTACTCCCGTGAAGAGTCACAGAGTCAGAGGCTCAGAAACCCGCAGGGCAGTCCCACCCTGTCCTGTCAGGTCGCTGCGAGTCGGCATCGATGTGATGGCGGTGAGCCTGGCTGGTTGGTTGGTGGAGATGGTGCAAGGCTGGGCATCGAGCTGTTCTGTGGCACGTAAGATCTCAGAGAGCTTACCAACTCACCCACGGCGACACCACCCCACCTATCGCACAGGGCTATTGGGAGAAAGCAGTGGGATGACGGAGGCGGAAGTTGCAGGCTCACAAGGCCCAGTGGAAAGACACACCATTCCCACCAAGTGCATCCGGCCTGATGGCTGCCCCGGGGGCTACCAAGCTGAGCTGTACCATAGGGCTTCTTGGCTGTCACCTTCCTAGAAGCAGGTACCAGAACATTCTTTGGCGGCTTTGATGGTGCTGCTGGGTGGGTGCCAGTAACCGATATTTAGATCAGCAGTTGAGTACAAAGTGGGCATCCTCCCAGGTCGCTCTAAACCCAAACTCCACTGCCATCGGTACTGACTCACAGCGACCCGCTGTGGGCCTCTGAGATCGTAACTCTTTAAAGGAGTAGAAAGCCCAGTCTTGTCTCCCCAGGAGCGGCTGGAGGTTTCGAACTGTCGACCATTCCGATTGCAGCCCACTACACCACCAGGGCTTAATAAATCTCACACACGTACTCTCTCCCTCTCTCTCTGCCCTCCAGCCTGCCTTAGGGACAGGCAGAGTTGTTTTGTATGTTAGGGTGACTTCCTGTTTGGGAGGAAGGTAGGTGACCCAACCTTGGCAGCATGCTCCTGGGGGC